ACTCTTACATAAAGTCTGTAACAAAAGAGTGAACAAATTCATTCTTAGAGAATGTGAGAAGTGTAACCTTTGTCATCTTGCTGGTACTGACTTCTTGCTTTGGTGATGGGATGTTGAGTACTTCCTAATTTGGTGCACACAGAAGTGTCTGCATTCAGATGGGTGATACATTGTTTAGTTTCGTGCACCTTCAGCTGGCTGCTTTGTGGGGCCGTGCTGTTTGTGCATTATATTTGTGTGTCATGAATGGTCCAGCAGGTGCACATTTGGTTGTGTAATGGCTGGGCTGTCGGTAGTGAGCAGGTGGAAAGAACATGGGGAACACTGACAGGGCTTGGGAAGTTGTAGGAATATCTCATAATTCACTAGTGTTGAAAAGTAGCTTTATAGTGGCAAACTTTGTATGCAGCTGGGACTGAATTTACAGACTACCCTTCTCTGACTTGCTAAAAAGCCAGGGATTGACAGCCCCTTTCATCCTGCATTATCCAGTGTAGCTTTTAACTCCAAGGAAACTATGTTCACAAATTGATGCACTGCTCCTTGGGGGTTGGTGCAGAAACATTAAATTGTACTAAAATATTCATATGTGAGTGCATTTAGCTGAAAGCAATTGATGTGCTTTTCCCTCGAGAGCAAAAAGAAATTGCTGTATGGCCCTGCACTCCAGCAGACACCCTAACCACGCTTAAGAGTAATTACACAGCTTGTCTCATCAGAGGCACTCGCAGTGAAGAGGAGACTGTAGCTGGGGTGCAGTTTAGTAACGTGCCCCTCTTGGATGGGGCATATTGGACAGCATTGCTGCTGAGTGCAGGGTGTTGTTTGATGTACGGTGTGATATCAGAACCTGTGTCGAGCTAGCTCACGTTTTATTCCAGTTGGAATTACAAAAAAACCCCTGTGTGTGATTACATAAAATTACATTTTATTTGATTAGTAGCTTGCAGTTGGAAGGAATCTCATGTATGAAGCAGTTCTTGTAATGGCTTCTAATTCCTTTGTGCTTTCACTCTGGCAAAGGAAATAAAACGAGCTGCCTCTAGAAAGAGGACGTGTGCCTAAGGAGTTTATCAGAGTGGCTTGTTTAGATGCATGCCACTGATAGGGTGATCAGCTGATGCACACTGAAGGTTTTCAGTGTAATTCAAAGGTTGACATAAAAAGCTATAGCAGCTGAGAGCCTTCTTGCAGTGTAACCACCTCCTCTTGTGCTGCACCTGTGAAAGATGTGCTGTTGTACCCTACAGCATTCAAAATCACTGTAAGTTGCAGCTAAAAACTGTGCTTGTCATTCTCCTACACAAATGTAGCCCCAGCAGCCTCGAGGCAGCCTAAGGTGTTCTAAAATATTCGCATCAGTAAAAGTGAAGTAATGTTATATGCCACCAGAAATGGGAATTTGGATGGCTAAATGGTTAACATGCACTGCCTCTCCCTATAAGATATGCTGGGGTCATGTTTGTGAGAGTTTGTGGAAGGAAAAAAAGCCACAGAACTATGCTAGATTAATAATTAATATGGCAAGTGAGAGAAGTTGGGTTCTTGATTTGGAATCTTGCCTTTGATATAGGCAAGACCTTTCAGGCCCTGCCTCCCAGTAGTGCCCTGTGGGATGCTGTGTGGCAAGACACAGCCAAGCACTGCTGCTGTGTGCAGGTTTGCTGGCAGAATCAGCTTTGTCTGGAGCCCTTGTGAGAAGCTTAAGGGTATGTTGTGTGCTGATGCTCCTGCCTTCACGCTGTCTTGGTAGTGACACAAGAAGCCTTTTCTGCAGCAGCATGTATTTAGTGTAGGTATTTCCTGGTTGTACTTCTCACCTTCTGCTCCATATGTTTCTGAGCTGTTTGGTCTGTTCAGCTTCCTGGCTGCTTGCTTCTGTCGCTGTGCTTTCCACTTCTGCACAGTGAAAGACTCGTGGTGTGACACTGACGTATTTGCAGTAAATACTTTCTATGTGACATTAAGTTACTGTGACGGAAGACAGTTCTCTCTGATGGCACGTCCCTGTCCCACCAAAACTATGCTCTCTCCCTTTTTTCCTCTTAAATTACTATTGAAGCTTCATCATAGACAGTGCAGGGAGCCCTTTGGTGCGGTGTCTGCTTGCTGTGTTGTTTTCCTTGTGCAGCACAACGCTGGCAGCAGTGAGAGCCTGCCCCTGTGCAAGCACCAGGGAGTGCAGAAATGCCTCTCTACTCACTAGACTTTGGCATAAGTGCCTCTAATTGCTGGCTGCAGATCAATCACCTGACAGCAGTAATTAGAGCAGCTTCCAGGGCTCTGAAGAGCAGCATTGTGAAGCTGGTGTAAAGCCATCTTTGTTGGCACCTGAGAGATGTGATGCAGAGCTTTGTTCCCTGGCCTGTGTGCCCATAGATGAGCCCTGAAGAGCTGAGATCTTCTCCCAGACCTCGCGTGCCCTCTGCTGCGATGGCCACGTGCTGCTAATTGGAGTCATGCTGCTAATTGGAGTCCCGCTGCCCTGTGGCTGCTCCGTGGCACTGCTCTGCTCTCCACCTTCCTCCCTCTTTTTCTTTATAGTGCCTGGGACAGTGAGCACTACCACAGCAGAAGTGTTAGGACTCGGCTAAAGCCAGGATGGAGGTCAGTGATTTCAGGGGAAGCATCAAAACAAGGGGGTTACCCTGAGAGGGACTGAAAGAGATCAGAATTTTGGAGGCCTTCTTGACCTCTCCATATGTGTAATTGATTTTTTTCCTTGGAGGGATCTGAGCAGTCTCAAATCCTTATCATTCAGGTCTCATTTTTCCTTTTAATAAATAGTAGAATAAATTTAAATCGAGACTTAAGCCATCACATCTGTTGTGCAGCCTTGGCCTGCTGCTGGGCAGCATACTGTCGCGTGTTACCTGTGTGAAAGCATTACTGAGGTGTTCCACCATTGGTGCTGCAAGGCATTGAGCAACCAGTTGTTTTGGCTGGAGAGCCAAGAGCTCATAACCTAGAAGGGCACGGCTTAGAGGCAGAATGAAGGCTTTTTAGATGAGCCCAGTAATTTAGAAATGTCTTTTTTAATGAAGCATCCTTGTCTTTCCCAGATATTTTAGTCAAATGTATACATAAGCATCTGGCTCCTGGTTAGCTGGATTCCTTCCAAGGACTGAACCTTATGATGTTAAACAGAGTGATAAGAGTATCTGGCAGTCTGGATGACTGGCATTTAATGAATTGCTCTAAAAAAAAAATCATATTACAGTAATGTGCTTTTGAAAGGAGCTTGTATTAAAGACTATATGATGTTACAGCGATTTCTTCTGTAACATCTGTTCTTTTATTTGGTATAATTAAAATATTGCATTCTTACCATGAGGTCTTACATGTACATATTGTATTACAGCGCAGCTGTGGGTAAAGTGAGTTGACCTCCAGTACCAATCTGTGCACTGAGAAGCAGTGGAGACTCAGAAGTTGTTGAGTCTCTTCAGCAGCTGTGCTGCTTTTGTGCAGATACACAGACCAGATTCTGTGCTTCAGTTTCAAAGCAAACCGTTCTGATAGGAGATATTTTGTTCCTGCTGTCTGCCTCCCACTTAGCTGTTACGGGAGATCTCCTACGCTTTTCTGCACAAGCTGTTCTTCATTTGCCTGTCCCTGTTTAAAGGTGAACGCAGTAGGTGGAGTCTGTAGCTGTAGATGTGTCAGAAAGCAGTCATCTCTTCACTGCCGTTGATATGGCAGCTATCAGCCTGTATGGAAAATGCAGGCTGCCTTCTCTCTGTGTTGGAACACCTCCATTTGAGCCACTTCTGGAGTTGGTGACTGTCCTACAGCTGTGCTTCGGTCTGCTGTGTTAAAAGCTGCTTAACTGTAACGCACATCCTAAGCTGTGGAAGAACGAGGTCTCTTTTCTCCCACTTACTCCCTCTGACTCCAAAGATCCTTCTTGGTTTAGGTCTGTGTGTTCTTAGATGCCAGCTAACTGTGGTAGTGATGAAAAACAAATTCTCTTAAATGTTTTGTGTCTTCATAAGGACATATAAATACAGTGTTTGAATTGGTTTGACAGAGGATCCCCAGCTGGTTTTGTGTGCTCCAGTTGCCTCTTCTGTGGCTGAGAGTGTGAGAAGTAATTCCTTTATTTTTCTGCTGTAACGTCAGGCAGCTGAGTGCTGCAGGTCTGCGTGCTGCTTGGACTTGGGCTGCTGGAAGAGCTGTCACTGAGCTGAACATATGCATGGTTTTGGGTAGGCTACAGACAGGGTCATTTTCAGCCCAAGGGGAAAAACTACTTTCCTGCTGTGAATTAACGTCAATGCAGAGCGACTTGCTCATAAATCTTCACCTGTTTTAAGTTTCTTAGGAGATGCCAGGTTGGCAGTCGCAGAGCATAGCAATTTCCTGCCCGTGTGGTGCCTACCTGAGCACTTCTTTGCTCATCCACCACAGGAGCTGGTAGTGAATGGGAAGGGAGAAAAGCTTTAAGGCATGTATATGTTGGGGTTTGGACTGAGCAGTAGAAACTGTCACTGCAAGTGGAAATTGTGGTAGCCCACTGCTGTGCCTGAAATGCTTTATCCTGCTGTACGGGAAACTTTCTGAAGGTGTGGGCACCTGAATCCCAGCTTTGTGTGTTCTGTCTTACCCTAGCAGGGTCACAGAGGCCTCAGACCAAAAAATCTTGTCTTTCTCTTCAGGAACTGCATTATCCATTTGCAGGTTATGTTGCTCAGTACTTGTTTTGGCCGTCCCTGGGGTCATGAGTAGCACTGATTGCCCTCTGCTCTGTCTGAACAGTGCCCTACATTTGATGCAGATCTCTGTTTTTTCCAATCTGTCTTTGCCGGGTGCTCCTTTGGGATTCTCCTTTTACAACTGCATCCCAAAGTGGGAAAGGGAACCAATCACGAGCCACATTTAATATAGACAACCACTGTCATATAAAAACTGCTGTGTGTAATTGATCCTGAGCAAGGCTTGTGAGAGCTGACCAAAACTGTCGTGCATTCTGACAATGTGTCCTTTTTGTTTTCTTTTAGGAACTCTATATTGCTGTGGGAATATCTGGAGCAATCCAACACTTGGCTGGGATGAAGGACAGCAAGGTATGTCAGAGCTGGGGGTGCTGGAAGAACTGTTGAGGAAGGAGGGGAGTTTATTCTTTGCTTCTCATCAGCACTTTAATAACTTCCCACTTTGTGCAGTGTTACGATTGTCATTTTGTCTGCTGCCTTAAAATGTGCCTCACTACGCCTTGCTGAGTGAGGTTGTGGTGGAGCACCTAATGCAGTACAGTGCTGCACTAAGCCTGAAGGATTAAGCAAGAGCTAATTCAGTTATGTATTAAAAGAACAGCAACAGAAGACACGCACACACGCCTGAATTCTATACAATAGATGCATTTGCATTTATTTCAGAGTATGACATATTAATTCATGCATAACAGTGTGTAATTTGAATTATGAACTTACTATTCCATAAAGTAAAAGATGTCTCTGACATTCCTGCGTTTAGCTATTCAAATGGAAACCTATTATAAAATGGCAGTCAAACTTTAAAAGGCTTAACTCATTAGTTGCTGAAGCAAATAATCTGCAACTGGCATTGCCAGTTTGGTCCACAGTGCAATGTTGGGAAAGAGCAGCAGAATTACTTGCTGCATCCCGCTGTCAGGTGCCAAACACTTAAAACCAAACCAAATAAAATGAAAGCTGTCCTGCTTCCTGCTGAGGAATTGTAGAGAAAAAGGATTGATTTAGTTTTCTACTTCCAGGGAACTTTTCAGAAGCTTTGCTGGGTTGGGGTTTGTCTTCTGGCAGCCAGGAATTGGAGTAGCTTGTAAAACCATCACAAGCAGAGGAAAAAATGTGCAAAACCTTGCAGACAGATCCCTAAAACCATCCTTTGTGTCTGAGCAGTGATAGACTGCAATGGGCTCACATGGCTGTATGTATCCCCACAAGCCAACCTGCGTGGTAGGGTGATCCATGCTGCTGCTTAGTTCTTTTTGCACATATTACTCAAATCAAATGTTTCTGGGGGGAAATGTGGGCGCAGCAGCCTTTTTTGGGTCTCACCCTTCTAAAACAGACGCAAGTATTCTCACTTGTCTCCACAGTTGAGGAAGAAGCAGTCAAAATTGAGGATCATTGATGGGTGGAGCTGAAGGTCACTGCTGAGGAGGGAGATAGAGGTGTGGATAATGGCACAGCAGCAGTGTGCTCTCAGTGGCCTTAATGGAAATAGGGTCAGTGCAGCCTCCCCTGCTTGTTGCTGTGCAGCAACAGGGAGACGTGGGGGCAGAGCAGGAGCAGTGCTGGCGCAGTGCTGGCGCAGCCATCTCTGCAAAGCCTCTGCTCTTTTCGCCTTTCCAGCATTGTGTTTGATATTTTGAGATGTTTTTATATCAAATAAGATAAAGTTTGTCAGTAGGAGAAACGTACTTAGGTTTATTTTCACCCAGAGATGACACTTTTTCTGTAGTAAACAAATAGGTGCATTCTGAACTTCAGTTTTGCTTCCATGTGTTTGAAGTGGATCCTGCTTTCCTTTCAGCCTGAGTGCAGGTGTTGGAGTTGCTGAAAAGTTCCCATTTATACAAACAAAAGAGTTTTGCAGCCATGGAAACTGCCCCTGGATTTCCCCCATCCTCCCATTGGCACCATGCACCCTCTGGCACTGTGAACTCGCACACTTCAGGATATGCTTTCCAAAGTGCTTTCTACTGAGTGAAGCGAGTCATTTTTGTCCTCTTACAGCAAGGTAGAAAATGCAGCTTTGGAGGAGGCCTGGCGAGTCCTTGTTGCTTTCCATACTTATTTCAGTTCCCTCCTGAGGTAGTTACAGCATCTTTTCTTTCTAAGAGATGTAACTTACGAAAGTTTGCTGTAATCGTTGCAAGCCAAGTGATGCTTTTTCTTCTTAGGGTGGGAAGTCTGACTGTGGAGATGAGGTAGAGAACCAGATCTTACAAAAAGTCCCTTCAGCAAGAGGAGGCAGAGGAGGGCTGGGGCTGCCAACTGCAGCTGAAGGCAGATGCTTTTGGAGCAGCCATTGCTACTTTGTTTTGGTCAGTGTGACGCAGCATTTCCCACTGAGGCTTCAGGGCTGTGGGCCTGAAGGAGGAAGCGCAGGGAGCTGAGTCTGCAGGGTTGGTGGCTGGAGGCGTGCTGTGTGGTGAAGGGACAAGCGCTGAGAGTTGCAGTTCCTGCAAGCCTCTCCCTTGTGCCAGGTGAGGGCAGGGGCTGGGGGCCTGCTGCCTGCCCACAGCAGGGCTCGCTGGGGATGTACAGCTGTGTTCTCTGCAGTCTCAGCCAGTCTGTCCTGCCCACTGCAGCCATGGGTACGAGTCCTCGTGTTCCTTGGAGAAGCTCTGGGAACACATGGTGGGGCCTCAGAGCACGGCTTCAGTCTTTTGAATTAATATCCTATCACAACCTGGGTTTTGCTTCCTGCGCTGTAGAGCTGTTAGCAAAGGCTTGCATTGGCAAAAGGAGTAACAGAAATAGAAAATGAGAAGCTTTGGGAGGAATGTGTTGGGCAGGTATACTGGCATCTTGCAGCTCTGTGCTCGTGAGCTGGCGAGAAGGCAGCAGCAGGGTGCTGCTGTAGGTACTGCCTTGTTGTGTAAACCATGTGGTTCTCCTTTACAGCAAGTCATGGGATACAAACGAGCTGTGAAGGAAGGAGGTTTCTGTAGGCTTAAAAACACAGGATTTGTGAACTTTCATCTGTGAGTTATTGCCACCAATGTATGCTACTGAGCCATTAATTTTGTCAGGCAAGTACAGTCGGTGGAGGGAGCAAAGCATATGAGAACCATGAACTGTGGCTACCTGGGAATGGCAGGTAGGTGTGCAGAGGAAATGTTGGTTAGAGCTGTCCTGGGGAATCCGTTGCCTCAAATCTGAGTGGAAGCAGTGAGGTGGAGAGGCAGTGGCAGAGTGCTGTGGTTTAGGCCAACGGGTGTTAGGATCGTTTTATGAGCTGTTGCTTATTTAGAATTTTGTTCCTCCTTCATGGAATCTCCCCATCCTGTTGGAGATTCAGCTTTGGACACCCACACTTATTTTGCTGGAAACTGTCACAGACATTTACGATGGGATTTACCTTTTATGAAAGAGTTCAAATTGGGGAAGGCATTTTCTGGACTGCTGTGTTGGGATTTAGCTCAAGTGCGTTTTTCTGCTGTGTGACACAATAAATTACACGGCCTGCTGTAAGTACGGGGGCCTTTGGCACAGCTCTGTTACATTTATTTTAAGTAAGTGCTACCTCTGATTTATTTCTGTAATGTTATGGCTTAAATATTGCAGGTAATCTGTTGTAGTTTTTTTTTTCCAGACTTTACTTTCTTCAAGGGGGGAGCGCCCCTGCATGAGGGATTGTTCAGGAATAGACTTTGCTGTTATTAGGACTGCATGGCTCAGTGTTGGAGAGCGTGATGGTGGGCTTTCATGGGCGGTGGGGGTTGGGTTTGGTTTTGAAAGCAAAGCAGAATGGGAAGATATCTGTCAAATGCTGCAATCTGTAACCTGCTGCCCCCAAAGCCAGGAGCAAAGTCAGCCCGTTTCCTCAGGTCTCTGCCATCTGCTCCTCCATGATGATCACAGTGTTCATGTGGTGCTTTCCTCTTGTTGCAGACCATTGTTGCTATTAACAAGGATCCAGAAGCTCCAATTTTCCAAGTGGCCGACTATGGACTGGTGGCAGACTTATTTCAGGTGAGGCTCAGCTTTGGGCACGGGAGAAAGCTGTCAGATGTAATGACAGTTAAGATAGGTAATAGAATCTAATGGGGTGTTTGCTTTGGACTGTTTTGCACAAGAGTTGGCTTTACAACTTCATTATTTTCAGTCTCCAAACTCAGTCCCCACAAATGTTGAGAAGGGCGGGTTTCACATCAGCCTGCCTGTGTTCACATTTCCTGAATGTGAGCCATTCTGAGAACTGCACCTAGGTACTGAAATGAGTTTTTGAGCTTCATAAAGTCTGAACGTACAGAGCTGGCGTTGTCTTCAGACTGCAGCAGTTCTCCTCCTGCGTGGGCTTGCTGCTTTACTGACACTGAGGCGCAGCTGGCAGTTTTCTGGCAAACTCACACGTGGGCTGGGCTGCCCACACGGCCGTACATGGCAGCAGTGTGAACTCACAGCAGCTCCATGGAGGCATGGGCAGAAGCTGTGCCAGCACTTAATGCCATTCCTGAACTAATGCCCGTTGGCTCAGCGGTGAGCACGGGCCTTTGCGTTAGGCAGAGACAAAGTCACATTCTGAAGAAACACCATGTAGACAATTTCCTTAATAAATTTTGTACGAATGCATTATTTCCACCTAATGGAAATGTAGCGCTCTTAAATAATTAAGAGGCTCTATTCAGCAGGAGGGAAGTGGGGAGTGCTGTGAGCTGGGGTGACCCACAGCCCCTGGAGTTGTGGGCAGGGGGCTGGCGTGTGATGGGGGGGGTTGAGACCTCACATAAAAAACTTTGTGGGGGTGGAGGGGAAACGGGTGCGACCCTGGCACTGGTGTTTGCAGGCAGTGCCTGAGATGACGGAGCTCCTGAAGAAGAAGTGAGCAACTGCAGTGGCTGCAGTTGGGCTGGGCAGTAATGACAGCACAACCCCAAGATTACTGGAGAGTACTGATGTCAGTGTATGTTTGTGCTGGGCAGTGCTTGGTACGGGTGGAGGTGGGGACAGAGGTGGTATGAAGGAATAACAGTAATAAAGGATTGGAGTGGAAAGAGAGGTAACTGTGGGTTGTTTTTTTTTTTGTTTCTTTTTGTGGGTGGAAGGGGCTGGGACACCAAGTGGTGGGGGTAGAGGGGAGAGTGAAGAAAAGCTATCAGGAAAAGGAGTCAAGGCAGGAAAGGTTTAAGGTAAGGAAGGAGGGATGGAAGACAGGAACAAGGGAGGCAGCAGTGGTTGTCAGTGTTTATTCCCAACCTCACTCCCCTCCCAGCTGTGCTCAGCCCCTGGGCAGAGGACATGGGGAGCTGGGAGGCCAGGCTTGGAGCAGGCTGGCCAGCAGCTCTGTCTGTCCCTGGACACTGTAGCTTGGTGCTGGTGGAAGGTCTGTGCACCTTGGGGCTGACCCCAGGCTGGTGGCAGGACACGGCCGTAAGTCTTTTCTCCCTGCCACTGGGCACTGCGGGTCCAATCCTGGTGGCTGAAGACAGGGGGAAGGTCTCCTGTGCCTCAGAGGACACCATCGGTACCGGCTGGCTCAGAGCTGGTGGCAGGGCAGGCCTGCTGGGGGCCACTTGGGTGGTGCGAGTCCAGCCCTGGGCTGGTGGCCATTGCAGGAGGTGCCATAGGTGGCCTCCGGTGCTGCTGCCTTGCCCGTTGACCCAGCACAGTGAGCATGCCCCACAGCTCCTTAGGCCTCTGGTACCTTGCTCAGCCGTGGCTCGGGGGGTCCCAGGGCCCCATACTTGTCTTCAATCACGGAGGGGCCCTGTGGAGAATCTATGAGTGGCTTTAGCTGGAAGACCTCGAGGTTCTCCTGATTCCTGCGGTTGTAGACGCTGAGGCGGTGGCCGAGCTCAGGGCTGGCCCTCACTGAGCTGGCCGGGCTGGGCAGCTTCAGGTTGACAGGGTCCAGCCCCTTCTGCGCCAGGCGTGCCTCTTCAGACAGGGAAGAGAGCAGCTCCTGGACCACGGCTTGTGCCACCCGCTGCTGGCTGGACACGAGGTCTGCGCGAGGGCTGGCGCCGGCTGCGTCCTCGCAGCCTGCGCTGCAGTCTGGGGAGGAGCCCAGCGTCTGGCTGCTCTCGCTGCACGCCTGGGTGCCAGAGCTGACGGTGGAGCGGGAGGCGCTGCCCGAAGTGATGCTGGCCGACGTCCCGGTGCTGCTGAGCCGCATTGGCACCTCCACCGTGAAGAGATCGGAGGAGATATTGGGGCGATGGACGTCGATGGCGGCCGTGGTGACCACGCAGATGGCAGCCTCAGGAACACCGCTGTCTGCAGGCAAGAACGGCGGAGAGGGGCAGGTGAGAGCACAGTGCAGGGAGGAAAACAAAGTAGCAGATTTCAGAGACCACTGCAGCTCTCTGAGGGATGGATGGGGCGGACAGACACCTGCATGCTCCACTGTGAAAATGTATTGGCAGATAGGATCCCTGTCCTTTCCTGTTATTCATTTTATACTTAGGTAAATTAAATCAGCACAGGTAAATGTGTACATGCACTTATATGTGTGCAGATACAGAAATGGGGAAGTAAAACAAGGCAGAAATAGCAAAAGCACAGCTAAACATACACCTACATGGACACATTTTACAGCTACCACATACAGATGTTTTTATGAAATGTACCAAACGCTCCTCCTGCTCTTTCCCCCTAACTAATGTTTATGTAGCCCTCTTTAAATAAATAAATGTATAGATGGTGTTTCCCAAATACCTGTGTTGCATTTTTTATCTAATTTATCTAAATATCTAAAAATAAAAGAGCTCCCCAAGTCTCCACAATGCGACTCCTAAGTCCACACCTGTGTTTTGTTCATCTCTACACGGGGACTGATGCGCAGGCAAGAAAATAAACCTGTACAGTCTTGAAGAAAATAAACATACACATTCATGCCCACACCGTTACCTATCTTCAGTTACGTGGTTATGTACGTATCTTACATCTGTACAGTCACACACACGTGTGTGTCTTCATGTACAAATAATGGGAATGTGCACATACCTGTAATTCTTAGTACACCTTGGTACTTGTATATGTGCAAGTACTCATATGAAATACATAAATATAGTCTTGCACACACCCTTATCTAGATATTTGTATACATATATAGGTAAATGTACATATACATACTTAGGTAAATATGTATGCCATGTCTAGCATACATGTATATAAGTAGGTGTGTACACATGCATGTACACATCTGTATGCATACATATCTATAAAAAACATGCATGTAGTGCATTATCAGTCTATACATTCCTATTTTATACATATATATAAAATATTATACAGACATATGAAAGTTGTTTCCTTTTATAAGCGAATAAGCATGGCTATACCTAAACAACAACCACATTGCACATAATAACCATATACAGTCATACCTATGTGTACACACACACACACACACACAGTTTTTAATGCATACATTTTAATAAGCAGATATGCAGGCATCTGTGTGGGTTGGTAGGTGTAGATATTGCTGTACTCATATAATAATACAAATATATATGTACACAATTTGCATTTCTATACATTTTATACACATATATAAACAAAGATCTGTGTGTGTACACAGTTATATGATGTATAAATGTTTGGCTGTACATATATAACTACATTACATACCTGTGTACAAATACATGTGTATATGAGGGCTGATCCAAAAGTAATGCCTCCTACCTTATTCTGTTGGCTCACACCACGAGTGGCAGATGGTGGTGGTATGGCTACAGAGCTTGAACCTTCCCACCAGTACTCCATTACATTTTGTTGCCTTGTGACACCTGGCAGCAGTGAGGCTCTCTATTAGAATGGCACCTGCCATGTAAATGAAGGTGAAGCATAGGGGTGGAATTGAATTGCTGGTGAAAACAAACATCTAACAGTGGTGTCTGTGTTGAAAGCTTGTGTTTTGCAGCTGAGGATTTGCTCCATCTCACAGTGTTATTGTGCTCTTTGTAGTTGTGGTAGTTTCCATGGAAATAAATAGGAGGCATTACTTCCAGAGCAACCTACTTGCATAAACACGTAATACACACATACAGGAGCATCAGTGTAACCCTGGGCTTGTGGGGAGGGGGGAGGGGGATGTATGTGGTGGAACGTATAGATGGGAATATAAATCTATAATGCATTATACATAATCATCTCTATCTCCACATGCATATTTTATATTTAATGTACAATGCATGTGAATAATTTACATATTAGCTGACACATACCTTGACAAGAATATCCACGTCTATTTGCACATGCATAATTTATGTTCTATATGTGTATATCCACATCTGTGCCTCCCTAGAAATCTATACACACCCACCTACCTTTTTTATTATGTGCATATGATAAAAAGGCATGCAGTTATGTTTATGTCTGTATGCTTGTGTCTGTGTGTGTCTGCACTGGGTATCTGTGTGTGCCCGTCTGTATTTCCCCAGCTGCATACCTATATGAGCGTAGATACGGTGCTGCACTGAGCTCACTCACTTTCATTCCCATTCCTTGCCCAGTGGAATCTCCCTGCAGACCCAGCAGGGCATTAACCTCTGCAGGACATTCAGTCCTCCAGCCTGTGACCGGCACCTCAGGGTGCCCCTCAGCCCTGGAGAGCTGCTTTGGCTCTTAGGGAGAACACCACCAGCTGTGGGTGTTGGGTTCCATTCCCAGAACAGACTCTGCCATTGCTCAGCCTCACCGGGGTTACAGCACACAATGCAATGCAAACATTTGGTTCACACTCACGTTTTCAAGCAGAACTTACCACTGCTGGGCTCATTGTAGTACCGGCTGATGTAATTGTTCATGTCATCCTCTGAAACAACAAGAAGGCAGCGTGTGAGTAAGTGGCTGACCTGGCACAGCCTGCTCACAGCCCCATGGCCTCCTTGCCCTTCCAGGGCCGGGTGTGATGCTCAGATCCTGACTGTGCACT